CAAGTAATTTTATCTTCACTGTAGTTTTGTGATGTAGGTTTTGTCACTATACACAGGTATTAATAGGAGTCTCAGGTTCAGAAGGAATAAGTGACATATTCAAACCACATAGTGAATAAAAAGTCATTTGCAGCCAGAACTTTTTCATAAAAAATTTTTCTTTTCATAAAGCTACCTGAAATGCTTTTCATTTTTTTCAGATAAGAATGCATAGTCTCCAGAGAAATATGGTTAGTTTTGATTCTATCTTTGTCCTGCTGTGATGTCATCAATTCTCACTGCATGTAGCATTCTTGGTGGTGGAGTGCAGAACTATATTTGTGTCTACTTAGAGTAATACAAGGACACAGATACATGCGTGCCCCTGCATATCCTTTAGAGTTTTCTGCAGGAAAAGGTTAGTTTAGCCTTGTCTTGGTTGTATAGACAGCACTTTGTTCTATAGAGCTGACTGATAACAACACAAAAAGGTCAATGTCATTCAAGATTTTTGTTAACTTGATTTCTGCAGAGAAGTGGACATACTCTGCCTTGCAAGGCTGCATGGGGAAGCATCAAGTTTTGTTTAGGAGCTGGAAAGGAAGGAAAGAAAAGCCAGACTACTTTTTATTAGTGTATGTGTTGGGCAGGCAGGATGAGGTGTGGTATATATTTTAGGCTGCGTTGGTTTAAATAATTCCAGTGGGCTTCCAGAGATAGGAATACCACTAGCTGTCTTGTGCCCATGTGTGATTTAGAATGAGAAAAATACTGGTGGACTATGTGAGAATTAGATAAAGAAGTAGTTTTAAAATATAAGCTTGGGATCAAATGGGAGAGTTAAAACATTGACCCATAGCTTCACCCTGTAATTAATGGATGTCAAATTAAAAAACACAGAGTCCAAGAAAGCAGAAAAGGCCAATAGTTTCTCAACAGTGTACCAGTTCTTTTGACAGGAGGCTTTTATACCTTCAATTTCTTCATGTTTCAGGCAGGCTCAACTGAAATGTCACAAACTGTAGCAAAACTTTGTGGCTTACAAGCATGTGATTTTACTTGCTTACAATTCTGTGGATCAGGAATTCATTTAGGCTGGATGGTTATTTTTGGTTTATATGTAGTCACCCAGAGTCGTTCCCTCAGCTACCTCAGGTGGTGGCCTGGTAGGCTACAGTCTCTAGGGAGAGAGCTGCAGTCTCCTGATGTGGGCTATTTTGCTCCTCCTTCATGTGATTTCCCTTTCTCTTTGTGGGTGGCTTGATCTCTCCAGGCGTGTCTACTGCTTATGTGGCACTGTCTGCCCAGGAGAGCGCACCATGTGGGAAAGGAAGTGATCAGGCTCCAAGGTCTTGTTTCAGGTATTTTAAACTACTTTGTTACATTCTGCCTGTCAAATCAAATCACAGGGGAGGAAACACTGTTTCCACTACCTTGCTAAGTGCGAATAATTGGTAGTTATCTTTAGTTTACCACACCATTCTGCCTCATGGAAGACAGTCTAAAATAACCAATTTGAAAGATACCTATTAAGCCTTTAAAGCAAAAAGCAGAAACAGATTATCATAGACTACTCTCTTAATACTTATAAGAGCTGATTTAATATGCTGCCAGATATTTTGGAAATAATGGAAGTGCTAGAAATAAACCAAATGTACAAGCTCCTGTATAATGACTATGAATTGCCTAGTTACTATATTAAAGTAAAGTTACTATATCAAAATAACTAGGCAAGAAAAAAAAAACTGAGCAGGATTTTTTGTCTTGCTCTGTCTCCTCCAAGAAATAGGGTTCCCAGAGTTATCTGTCTCTGGGAAGACTGCCTAAGAGTCAATCTAAATTTCTCAGGAACTCCCTCTGCCTGAGAACTGAAGGAATTCCTTCCTGTTTACTCTCTTAGATGATACAAGGGCAAAGTGATTGCACTTAACCACATAGTCCAAAATTTAAATATTTCAGAATTATATTTCTACAATTATATGATAATTTCTGTGAATTAATGCCATATATTTGGTAATCTGTGTTCTTCTTGTATATGTTTCTTGTATTCTATAATATAGAATTTATTTCCCACCCCTTGCTGCAGTTCAAACCACTCCTGAGGTACTCTGAGCCTTAATGATCCAGAGGCAAATCCCAGGAAGTTCTTGGCTTTGCCCTCAGCACCTTCCCACAGGTATAAAGGAACATTCGAGGGTCACATGAGGAGGGGAAGAGGAATGAAAATGGCAAAGTAAGATGGAGAGGCCGGGCTGGTGGGCCTTGATGCTGGTAAGAAAGTCCCGCAGGCACCTGGAAGCTGGCTCATGTGAACCTTAGGATTCAGTATGTTGAGTTCCTCTTCCCCTGGCTGCTTTCTCTGTGAGCCAGTGTTAAGCTGCCTGTCTTCACTCCTCCCCTTCAAGCTGGGGTGGACCTCCCCACAAAGTGTCTGTTCTGCCCTAGGGATTTCTGACCAGGTGATTTCTTGTGTTCCTGGACCATGGTATTCACTCATTGGGCTTCTATCCTGTCTCCTCCTATCATGGGACAATAGGAGCAGGCTGGGGGAAGCACCTGCCTAATCGCCTAATCATGTCTGCCTGCCCACTCAGCTGCCTGGACCCACTGGATTCACAAGACTCAGAACATATTCATTGTTTTGTGGAAGGCCATGCAAATTACACTCAGAAGGGCTGGAATTCTGGTATAGCTCTGCCAACCAATGGCTTTCCTGGTTTTAGGCAAGTATTTGACCCTGTGGTCTCAAGCTGCCAAGTGTGCATTCCTGTTCATGTATAGGTATCAGCAGCCTAGGTCCGTCAGCCCTGACCTCTGTTCCTGTATTAGCGACAGGTAGCTACCCAACCATGCCCAACCTCCGCCTTGAGCTGCAGATGGGCACAATGACTAGACACCTCTGATATCTCCCTTTCCTCTCCTATTCCCCTTTTCAACCACTGAGCATTCATGGAGCTCTTAGTAAAAACTTCAGCAGCCAAAAATGAAAGTGCAAGTGAGAATGGATCTTCTTGAGGATTTTACTGTCTATTGTGGGAGTTCCTGACCCTGCCAGTCCAAGGGCTCACATTCCTCCCTCCTTCTCTTTAACTTCCATTACCCTGTCACCAGTGTTATTTTTCTTCTTCCTCTCAGTTATGGCTCTGGGTTATGGTTCAGTTTCCATTTAAATGAATAATCACTTAATTGTAGTGTAAAGATATTGCTTTTAAAATGCATTTTTGCCATTTTGACTATACTAGTAATCATTTTGCAATGGAGACTGATTTATAAACCAAAGACAGCGCATACTGGACAACCTGATTCTTTTTGAGGCAGGGTCTCACTGTGTAACCCAGGTTGGCCTGGAGCTCACAGTGATCTTCTTGCCTCAGCCTCCTGTGTGCCACCATGCCTGGCTAGATTGAGCATTTTGAAGAACATTTTGTCCTTTGTTCCAGCTACAATTTCTAAATCTTATCTCAACACCTGTACTCTGAGATTACTGTATTGTTTTTTTGTGTATCAAACATGTATGGAGGCCCTACTTGGGGACAGGCACTTTTAGAGCCATTACAGAAACAGTAGGTGGCAAATTCCTCAGGGACTTACATTCTAACGTGGAAGCAGGTGATAAGCAAAGTGCTATATGATATGGTAGCTGTACATATAGTGATGCTGTGTAGACAAGTGGCGTGGGCTAAGGGGTGAGAGAATGCCAGCACAGAACAGTGCTATCGCAGATGAGTTGGCCATGAAAGCCCTCTCTGAAAGAAATCGAGAGAGAGCATTGTAAGACAGAAGGATTAATTTTGAGATCGCAAATATATGTATGCCAGAATCAGCCAGAAAGACATCATTAGAGCCAAAGAGAAGAGATTTCTTGAAGAGCAGAGACAGGAGAGAGACAGTGTGCCCAATTTTCTTTTTGTTTTCTTACTTTCTATCCTGTGAGAAGGGAAACTTGGAAGGTTTTGAGCAGGGGTTTGAAAGGATCTAACTTTTCTTCTGAAAGATTCCCTTCACTACTCTGTGGAGAATATCCTGTAATTCCAGCATTCAGGAGGCTGAGGACAGGAAGATCGCTGTGGGCTCCAGGCCAACTTGGTTATAGAGTGAGACCCTGCCTCAAAAAAAAAAAAAAAAAAAAAAAAAAAATCAAGTTGTCCAGTATGCTCTGTTTTTGGAGAAATCTGAGTAAGAAACCGAGGCTAGCATCAGGATAGCAGTGGAAGAAGTGACAAGCAGTGTTTGAATTTGGGGGTCTATTTTAAAAACAAAGCCATTAATGTATGTGACATCTAAGACGCCGGCCCCAAAGGGTGTGAATTACTTCAATAATCACATTTCAAAAGAGAAATCAAAATGATTTAAAACCAAAAAACTCTTAATAGTTTATTCATTATTATGTAAAGAATATTACCTGGAATTAAGGGCACTAACATCAACTTGAAACAGTCGACGATAAGACCCCTGCAAGTAGTTACTGGATGCTAATTTTGCAGAACTTATTATGTTAAAACTATTCAGATTTTTTTAAACAGAAGTACACAACATCATTAACGTTGCTTTGTCTTAAGAGACAGGTCCCAAGAGAGTCTCTGTGACTCTGAAAAGATGTGAACTCCAGCGGTGCGGCAGCAGTGTCAATATTTCTTTGTTTGAGATTTAAATAAAGAAGGAGAAGTGTGAGGGAAACACTGTATCAAAGCAGCCTAGTGATCACAGACTCACAAAGGAACACTGTGTCTTGTGAGTCTACCCGGGAGTAGGGTTTCAGCCAGAACAGGGCGGCAGTCGCTGACAGATGAGCCTCAGTGCACTTTCGATCCTGCCGGCCTTCAGGCGTGCATCTGTCAGCCTCCCCAGTGACCAAGCAGCCAAGGGTCCCAGACTCTGCGGGTCCCATCTCTGGCCACGCCCTCCCTGGCCCGGGCTGCAACCCCTTCCTCCTCACCCTGGCCACACCCTCCCCGCCCCGCCCCACCGCACGCGCCGGCGCACTGGCCAGCCCAGTGGCCTTGTAGGCTGTAGGCGGGGCTTGCGCAGCCTCCCGGACCCAGCTACGCCCCGCCCCCACCTTGGCCACCGGCACCGGATCGCCTCCAAGGACGCGCATTTCTTGGGAGGCAGAAGAGTGCACTTTGGCCGCGCCGAACCCCAACCGAGGAGCCCAGTCCTTCAAAGCAGGTCGCGATGGTGGACGAGCTGGTGCTGCTTCTGCACGCCCTCCTGGTGCGGCACCGCGCCCTGAGCATTGAGAACAGCCAGCTCATGGAACAGCTGCGGCTGCTGGTGTGCGAGAGGGCCAGCCTTTTGCGCCAGGTACGTCCGCCGAGCTGCCCGGTGCCCTTCCCCGAAACGTTTAACGGCGAAAGCGCCCGGCTCCCCGAGTTTATCGTGCAGACCACGTCTTACATGCTCGTGAATGAAAACCGATTCTGCAACGACGCCATGAAAGTGGCATTCCTGATCAGCCTTCTGACCGGGGAAGCCGAGGAGTGGGTGGTGCCCTACATCGAGATGGATAGCCCCATCCTAGGCGATTACCGGGCCTTTGTCGATGAGATGAAACAGTGTTTTGGCTGGGATGACGACGAAGAAGATGAGGACGATGAAGAAGATGATTACTAGGCCTGGAACCCTTGGGAGCCTCGAGGGGGAGGGACCTGCAGGCCACCCGTCCCTCCCCCTATCAATCCGGGAGCTGCTGTGTTCAGCCTGTCTTTGCCTCCTGTGTCCCCTCCTCCGCTGGCCTTCCTGTTCTCTCCTTTATCCCCTGTAGTGCTTGTCTTTGTTCCGGGAATAGTGCTGTTACCTGCTGCCCTGGGGCCTGAGGCTGGGCCTTGCTCTGAAGCATGCTGTGTCAACTCTGGCCGGCCCCAGTCCCCTTTCCCTGCTGCTATAACTGTTCCCTGATCCTCAGTTACTGGCCAGGCCTCTGATAAAACTGGTCAGACCATCCACAGTCCTGCTGCGGCCACCCACCTGCTTGCCAGGCCTTCATCTTCCCAGAGACCTACGCTGCCACTTTCCACCACCTGCTCATTCCTCCTGTAGACTACTGCTTGTGGAGATAAGGACCAACCTGGAAGATGCCTGAGTTGGGTGTACCTCTTTGGACACTGATTTGGACAGCCCACTAGTCCCTAAAAGGGCCACTCTTTGCAACTTGGTTAGTTGTCTATCCATTCCCAGTTTCCTTCCCTGACCTAGTAGATTGCTGCAGGAGCCTGGTGTGCCTGGCAGCCAAGATACTGACATTTCTTTTGTCTTATGCAACATTTTTTTTTTTTGCACAGCTGTTGTTTTTATTTCAAAATCATAGCAGTCTTACACAGATGTGTGCATTTGGACAAATGATAGCAAAAAGAATGAATCAAATAAGCAGCAACAGGCACTTAACCCAGCTCTTCAATACTACCTGGAAAAAAGCATTGGCATCCTTTTCAATAAATATCAAGCACTACATAAAATAAGAGTTGGTTGTCTTTTAATGGTGAACTATTGTCATTGGCCTCTGCCACTCTCACTCTTCCCCTCATTATTCCCACTGAGATCAGGGAACCCAGTTCACTCCCAGTATATCCCACTGTCCTCTCTAGGAATCAAAGCACAGCACCCTCAGGGCTACACACCAAGGCATTTCTTTTCTTTCTTTTTCTTTTTTTTGTCTTTTTTTTTTTGTGTGTGTCTTTTTTGAGTTGGGGTCTTGCTATGCAGTTCAGGCTGGCCTTGAGCTCACTTTGTAGCCCAGGCTGGTCTGGAACTTGCAACGATCCTCCCACCTCATCCTCCAGAGTGCTGAGTTTTCAGGAGGGAGCCACCACACCCGGCTTACACCAAGGTATCTCTTAAAGCCTTGGTAAAAGGGTTATCTTCTGGGTGAAGGGGAGCTGGACAGGGTTGATTAATCATCCCAAACTAGGACACTTTGGAAAATGAAAGGGGACCTTATTAATTAGACTGAGACAATAGCTTTCAGGTTCCTTAATGTTACCAGGGAAATTCTGCCCCTCAGTCCTTATTGCCCAGGGCTGTTGAATTCACACTTCATTAAACAACATTGCACATTATTTTAATGCAGCTTTCAGATGTTTAAACCACTGCTAAATCCTATATCCTGGGTAATTGCACCCATGATAAATATAGCCAAATTTTAACGTATCCTCTTCCTTGGAATGCCCACTCATATATGTGTCCCAGTTTCCTAGATGTTAATTGGCAAGATGCTTGGTTTTCTTTGGAGCCAGATCGTGTGCTTTTATTTAGGCAGTGGAGGAGGGAGTGGGTAGGGGCTGAGAAAAGTCTGCGTACTATTGTGGATCTGTAAAGCCAAGTGGAGCCAATGTATAAATCAGGGAGACTTGGTGAGGGATTTACCTCTGGTAGTTAGAAGGGTTCAAGAAAATTGCAGGGGCCCTGAATTGCATACTTACGTGCACCTGTATGGCCTCATTTAACCATCACTGGGGTCGCTCTTCAGTGTAGCACTAGCTCCTCTCAGTACATGTGGTCAAAATGAAATTTGCAATAAATTCCTCATTTCTAGCCTCACTGGGTCCTTAGCTGGCTTTCAGCTCTGGTTTGCCCTTTCCCATAACTTTTCCTAAGAGGCTTTGCAAATGAGGAAAGGAACACTATGTGTTCTCATGCATACTACATCTCAAATGTTGTCTGTCACTCTTCAGGGTATTTTTGTGTGTTTTCCAAAATGACAGGAAATAGTTGTAAAGTCTGGGTCACCAGCAAAAATCTGGATTTAGGTTTGGAACGGACAGCTCCTTGAAGAGACCCAGGTCTCATTTCCACCAAAGCCTGAGCTTTCTTTGTGAAGTCACGGCCACTCTTGTGGCTCACTTTCACAAACAACTTCCCTGAGCCTGAGCATTGCTGTCCGCCCTGTACTTTGCCCTTCCATCAGGTAAAATGGTTCTTCTTCTGGCTTCATGTCAGACTCCAAAGAATGAATGGGATTTTGCCATTTTATTTTTACTTCCCTGAAGCTACTCTGTTCCCGTCACCTGTCACCCGTCACCCGTGATGCTCACCTACAAAAGTCAAACTGGTAGCCAGAATCGGCTTCCTGAAATTTTGCTTCTCATATCTGGAGTGCCCAGGATGTACACAGGACAGCTGTAAATGCCCTAAGAGAGGAATTTAATTTCATCCACACCTATAAAGTTATAAGTATGAAGACTAACATCTGATATTTAATTAACACTTGCATTCTTATTAGGACTTGTAGAACCTGTATACAATAAAAATTCCAAACATATAGAAGCAGAGAGAATGGTTTAATGAATTCCCACGGGCTCATTTCCTGAATTGAAAAAAAAATGATTATCATCTTTGCTTCTTCTGCCCTTTTCCTAGAATTTTAATGGCATACTTTAAACCCAAACCTGGATATCCCATTAATTCATGCCTCAGTAATTCATTACGTTTCTTTAACAGACCTTAAAAAACAAAATCTGCAATATTATCACCACACCCACTAAAATGAACAATTTTAATCTAATATTTAATACTCAATAATGTTACAATATTTTAATTAGGTTCTATAAAGGTGAGCATATTACATTTGGTTTATGAAGCTCTTCTGCATCTTTTTAAATTGATAATGGTTCTTCTCACACTTTTGATTTCCTGCAATTTTTTCTTGGAGGAAAAGAAGCCATTTATTCTATGGGTTTTCCTGTATTGTGGATTAGCTGTATAATTTTCATATGCTTGTCCAATATTCTTTTGAATTGTTCATGTTATTTCTACTATTTGTAGAAGCTTGCTATTAGTGATCAGTGACATATGTTGCAAATATTTGTCTAGTTTGTCATTTGCCTTTTAAAATTCTTGATGATGTTTCAGAAAGATTCAAAAATGTTTAGCATATTTCCAGTTTTTTCATTCTCTCATCCAATCTTTGAGCTGTCAAATTTAATTGCTCTTATTATTTATTTTACTGCTTATAACTTCAAATAGTTTGAAAATAATTTAAAATTAAAAATTTAAAATTATTTTCAAATCTAAGCTATTTTTCAGATATAATTATTTTGACCATCAGCCATGAAATATGATGAACTCAGTGTAGCCATTAATATTTATTACCTGTCATCTTTTTAAGTGCTATCAATTTTGTGTTAACTTTTATAGCATTTACATGTTTTTTTCATCTTTTCCCTGTGAATACTATCTTTACATTGTTTTAATACATCAGATAAATGGAATAAATAATTAACAACCTATTCAACTTTTCAATTTATTTTTTTCTGTTAGTTAGATTTTTTTAAAAAAATGTCATTAAAAATCTTGCAATAATAATATGCTCTGAGTTTTTAGAAAGTGAGTGACCTTATTCATTGAACTTGTGGGTCACACTCTAAATTTTCAATGCTTCACTAGTATTGACCATTATTTGGAGAACTCTAGGAACATCCTATTACTTTCCACTCATACATTCTTTGAGATTTTTAAGGCCCAGAGGATATTTGAATAAGACACACCTCAGTGTTCATTCTTTGTCATTTTTTCTAATATGCCATATGAGAGTTAAGCCTGTAGATTCCAGGCTTTAAATTGTGCAAATATTTCATACATGTATAAATATGTATGATCCCACAAGTTTATGTTGATAATCTTTTATTTGCCCTTTTTATTTTACATTTTTTTTGAGAATTTGACGTTTGTTCTGCTTACATTTCTCAACCTTATTCTCTATTTCCTGTAAAACATTTTTAGCATTACCTGTCATTCTTTTATCTTTCTTCCAGTTAGGCTTTAAGTGTGATAGTTTTGTATTCCTGACATTTCTTTACCTCTTGATTATCCGCTCATTGGCCCATGCATATCATCTTGTTGTTTTGCTTATGATTCTTTCATATTTTTAAAATGTGAATGACAACAAGGTATGATGGTGATAAAATAGATCATCTCTGCTTCTTGAAATTTGTATGGAATGCAGTTTGCCTTTCTTCCTCCTACTCCACTCTCTCCTCCTCTGTCGCTCCTTCCATACCCCCAATCCCCCTCTCTTCCCTTTCCTCTTCCTCTTCTTTCTCCTCCTCCTCTTCTTTTCTCCTTCTTCTTCCTGTTCCCTTCTTTCGCTTCTCTCTCCTTACCCCTTGCATTCACCCTCTCCTTCCACTTTCCCTTCCTCTCCTCCTCCTTCTTTTATGCTGATTCAACCCCAGAGCCTTTAAAAAGACCTACATCACAGGCCAGGCTCAAAATGTCACTCTCAGAGTAACAGGATTATGGGCATGTACCACTACCCCCCAAATGTTATTTGTCATTTCTCCTGTCTTTTCCCTCTCTTTAGATGAGTTCTTGGAATCTATTATTCTCTTTTATATGTCTTAGTAATATTTTTCTGTCTCAGTAAAATATTGTCATATATCAACCTTCTGTGCCTCTTTCAGTACAGTCCCCAAAAGCATTTCCTCTGGCAGAAATAACTCCATGTTGATGATATGTACATTGCATTCTTACTGTTTTCCATGGATGAGATAAGTCTGGCAACCACTCTACTTTGTCTTTTTTTCACAGTTCATGTTTATTTCTGTAACAGTCTCCTCTTTCCAATGTACCTGGATGTACTCAGAAACTTTCTGAAAGTATTTTCAGAGACGACATTCTGGACTTTCTCTTCTTGTTCCTGTTGTTCAGTAATTTTAATTATTAAGACATCTGAGATAGTCTATGTTCCTGAGAAGCATGAGAAGAACTGTTGAAAGGGAATGAATAAGATTTGGTTGTGTGGTTGGGAAAATGTGAAAGATGAGTAACAAAATTTCTGTATCCTATATTATTTTATAACTAAATTATATGTACATATGTATATGCTGTGCGTATATTTCAAAAATAAGACCAATAATTTTCCTATCCTTTATTGAAATACCTTTTTTTTTGTCTTTTTCATTTTTATCGGTACCAGGGATCGAACTCACGACTGCCTGCTTGCAAGGTAGGCGCTTATGCCGCTGAGCTAAATCCCCAGCCCCTTGAAATATCTTTTTATCTCTCTGTGTAGCAAGGATAAAAATGGAATGGTTATAGTCATCTATGGAAAACGGAAGTGCCTGTTGTAGACCTGATCAGTAGGTATGTGAAAGAAAGAAAGAGATCTGTGACTCACAGGAGTAGCACGTGGAGGAGGTGAAATTAGCATCAGAAAATCAACATCAAAACAGGAAAGTCAAACATGTAAGGAAAGACTAGTTCACTGGGAGTTGAGAATGCCTTACTCTTTGCACAAAGGTTGAGTTCAATAAGAATGAGTTGGTTCTGACAAAGATTTTTATCTCTGTGCTATGTTTGCAGTGGATTTATGTGGTAACCGCTGATAGCTTGCTTGACTTGTGAGCCTAAACTTCCATTCTTATCATGGGAGTAATCATCTCAGGGCTAATATTAAAAGCAAAGTTTACCTAGTATTTCATTTGTTAGTTGAGACATTTTAGCTAGCTCTATTCATTTCTTC